TATCCATTACCTAGTATGGCAGCTGATTACCTACGAGCCCAAACAACTAAATATTCGGACACCTTTACTTTTTGTACAAGTGGACCCATAAATTAACTGCTGCCTTCTAAAAATGTTTGGCAATCAATTTATATTGATAGATAAGCATAATAAACAGATATTTTTAATAGCGGCACCTCTGATTTCAAATTTATTACTTTAAGACAAACAAAATCACTAAAATATCGTGAAATATGCAAAAACAATTGAGGGCAATACCATTTATGTCAATGTCCTTAGAAATTGTATTTAGTATCTAATTGTATTTTCCTGGTGGTAATTTATATTCATGCAAAAATGGTGCGAGGTGTAGCCATTAACCAGAAAGTGAGGCAAATTATTATTCAGCAGTTTTGCAAAGGCAAGTCAATACGCAAAATATCAAGTGATCTTGTTATCCCAAAGTCTACAGTTTCGGACATTATAAAAAAGTATGGCGAAACCGCCAGTACTGATGTGCGCGGTAGAAGACCAGGTCGACCGAGGATTGCGAATGAACGGGATCAAAGAGCTTTGGTCAAAATCTGCAAATCAGGTGGACGAAACACTTTAAGGGCAGTTACCGCTCAGTGGAACACAAAGTGTGGAATGCAGGTTTCACGAGAATGCTGCCGAAAATACATTTATAAATCTGGACTCAAATTTTATAAGGTATGCATTATAAAATTATTGTTCCAAAATAATTTTAAAATGTTTTTTCATTAGTTAGGCTAAAGAAAAACCACTTCTAACTGAAGTCCAAAAACAAAGGCGCTTAATTTGGGCAAAATCAAAGCGCTCTTGGACATATGAGAACTGGAGCAAGATCATATTTAGTGACGAAGCCAAATTTGACGTGTGCATAGGCGATAATCGGAAAAGGGTCATCAGAAGCAAAACTGAAACATTCCACAAAGACTGCATTAAACGTATAGTGAAATTTCCCAAAGGTATTAAGATGTGGGGCTGTATCTATGCAGTTGGAATGGGACGTCTTCATTTTGTAGATGGCAATACCAAGAAATCCTTGAGAACACATTATTGCCTTACCATAGCAGACATATCCTGACGGAGATTGCATTTATCAGCAGGACGGCGCATCATGCCATACTGCCAAAAGCACAAAACAATGGTTTGGGGATCATGACATACATGTCATCTCTTGGCCCACCAGTAGTTCCGATTTAAATGTGATAGAAATGGTCTGGCACAAAATGAAACAACATTTGAGAAACCATCCTTAGAGAACAATCCCTCCACTGCGAGTGAAATTGCAAGAAATTGTCAAGCATTAGTTAAGACCATGCCTGCAAGAATTCAGACGGTAATTAAGGCAAAGGGCGACGTAACAAGTTGTTAGTTAAGTTACATTTTGTAGTGTCCGAATATTTAGTTGCCACATATTTTTGAGAAGTTTAGTTCTTTTTGTTAATTTAAATTACTTATCCAGAAAAACAAATATTATTATCGAAAGTAGGTCACATTTTGTATAAACTATCAATAAATGTTTTCAGTACAAGTTTACTATCTTCTATCTTGTTTCGTTATTTTATAGAACAATTTGCACAAAATTTAAAAGTGTCCGAATATTTAGTTGTTTGGGCTCGTAGTAATATTTCAAAACTCCCCATATCCGCAAAGGTCTCATAATTCTGAAGGATCCGTCAATGCCAAGTAGACAGAGCCATATTTTGCTTTGATTTTTTGTACACTACAGATTCATTTTGTACTTGCTAAAAGCTCTTTTATTGAGAAAAGTTCATTTGCATACAAAAATCAAAACGCTACAAACAAGTTTTACTAGATTTACACCCAATTCATTATTGCCAACATTGCAGACTAACCAAGGGCGGATCCAGGATTTCGTCTAGGGGGGGCGGATCCAGGATTTCGTCTAGGGGGGGTGCAAACGATCTTTGGGGCTGGTAATTTATCTACCTCAGTGGAACTTCTAGAATTTATCCTATTATTTCTCTTTGAATCCATTGTGTTCTATCTGTTCAATGCCAACTTGGAAAAAAATATTGAAAGTGCTCAGAAATCCTCAGAAAGACAATATTTTATTATATGAGAACAAAAGAATCACGTGGCAGTTATTCTTCACACTTTCGTTGTCGAACTTAGACTTACGGCTTAGTTGTTGGTTTCTCAGTTTTCGAACCGGTGTTGATCGCATGTAAAACTGTTGGAAATCTTTGGATAAAACTATATATGTTAGATCGTAATTATTTTGATAATGTATGTTTGTACGAAACAAGAACAGGGATACAGGGCTGTACATATTCACGTGTAGTGCAGAAGCTCTGTGACTTAAACGAATTCCAATATAGCAGCATGAATAGAAACATACGCGGGAAGAAATGCGGGACGTGTGGCATTGACTTTGAGCATCGATCGACGCATTTTCTGGACAGGCTACAGGCGCACCGCTAAGCAAATCTCATAAATGTATATTTCCAATGTAGGCGTTCATCTAACATATAGTCTAATCATATTAGCAAATTTCCCCGAAATAATTGCAAAGTCCGGTTTTATTGGTGCAAGTTGTTCAAGGGCGCATTTTAAACATGGACGCATAAAATGGTTACACCAATTTTTGTGGGAAAACTTTTTATTTGACAACAAATAATGAGAAAACGTGTATTTTGGGATTCAGTCGAAAGTGTTGACAGGACAAAAAACTTTTTATGCAAGATTTTTAGGAATTGATGAGACCTACAGAATGAGAACACACGTGAAAAGATCCGACTAATAGCAAAAATATTATGGCCGAAAAATCATGCAAAATGCAGGTTTTGGCACTTGTCGGTAATGCGACGATAATTTTACGCAACTACTTGAAATTCTTCAAATCCACAGGATTCATACTTCTGAATAACAACAGCAAAATTGGAGTATAATGGTCAAGTAGTTTTTTGAGAATTTCTAATTGGTTATCCAAAAACACCTGTTTTCCGGACATCTCTACTAGTTTATTGAGCTTTATACAGGATTAGTTCAAAGAGCATTTTAGAGCAAAATATACTAATTTACCTAGCCGATATGAATTACAAACCATTCAGAAAGATAAATGTTATTTTTATGCGAAAAGCAAAGGTTACGTTTTTTTCCTCAAAGCAAATTCAAACATTTCGTATTTGTGAGTAATTGAGCAAATGTTGTACGATATCCGAAATACATACGTCACTATCACATTTCAAAACAAAGCGGATGTGTCTATCATCTTTTGTTACGAGTTACTCACAAATACGAAATGTTTGAATTTGTTTAGAAGAAATAAGAAAAACGTAACCCATCGTTTTTTGCATAAAAATAACATTTATCGTCCGGAATAGTTTTCGATTCATATCGGCAAGGTAAACTAGTGTATTTTGCTATAAAATGTTCTTTGAACTAACTAGTAGTGATGGCCTGAAAACAGATGTCTTGAGATAAACAATTAGGCATTCTCACAAACTACTTGACCAATCTACTCCAATTTTGTTGTGGTTATTTAGAAGTACCAATCCTACGCATTTGAAGAATTTCAAATATCTGCGAGAAACCGTCGTCGCATTACCAACACGTGCCAGGACCTGCAGTTTGCCTCGGTTTTCGGCGATAACTTTTTTGCTATTAGTCGGATCTTTTTACGTGTGGTCTCATTTTGTAGGTCTCATAAATACTTAAAAATCTTATAAGGAGAGTTTTTTCGTCCTGCCAATTATTTCGATTGAATCCCAAAAAACACGTTTTCTCATTCTTTGTTGTCGAATAAAAAGTTTTCCCACAAAAATTGGTGTACCCTTTTCACGCGTCGATGTTTTGAATACACCCTTGAGCAACTTGCAGCAATAAAACCAGACTTTAGAATTATTTCGCAAACCAGGGGTATTTTCGTCTAATATGCTTAGACTAATAGTGCTTCGCTGCAACACCAACCTCTAACAAAATCAGTCAAACTTTACACACTTTTCAAATTACTATTGAGCAACAAACAGAAGATGAATCATTTTTTAAGTGCAATCTGTATTGCTAATATATTGCTTAGGCTTAGATTTGTCACAAGTCACAATACTCGTATATACGTATAAATCGTAAGAATTGTGCTGTAAACGTAAGTGACGTCGATAATTGTAAAATGTAACTAATAATTCTGCAAATATTATGCATACTCCGATTGTGAGTGGAACAGGTAAAAATAAAAACAATCTGTAAGGACGCGGATTGGAGTAAAAAACAATGCCCTTGATAATGCACCCTTGAAGTATAGTAGAGTTTGGTGCACCACAGGGTACAGTGCTTGGGCCTTTCCTATTTGGTGTTTATATTAATAACATACTTTCCATCTTGGACAATGCTTTGCACTCAATATTGTAGTATTCATGGTAGGGAAAACATGGGAAACAACTGTTAGAAGGTCAGAAATTGCAATTTCTAAAATAAAATGCTGGACAGATGATAGTCTGTTATCACTAAATATTAACAAGAGAATGTTTATTTCCTTTGCTCTTACTGGGAAAACATTACCTAACTTTCAGAAGTTAAAAATACACAACATAGATTCATAGATTGTAAACAGGAAATTGATGCTTGTGACTGTGATGAAATAGAAAGAATGCAATATGTAAAATATCTGGGTGCCTAAAAAATAAGAAACGTCATATATATATTCTATGAACTAAGGAATATTTTAGCTTTTAAGTTAATAAAAACAATTTACTTTGCTCTTGTGAAGTCATTTATTAATTATGGGATTATTGTTTGGTGTAGCAGCTGTAAGAATGTTTTGAATAGTCTAGAAATATATTATAAAAGTAATTATATCTAAAACAAAAAGATATCCTAGTCAACTGTTTAGGGAAAGCAACTTATTAAATGTAGAACAACTATACATTGAAGGTGTATTCTTAACCATAATCTTTCTCTCCTCCTCTTCTCATTTCTCTGTAAAGCATGTTGCAGCAAAAGGCATGTTATTTCTACTGACCCCAAAGTATATAATGGTTTACCTGGTAATTTAAGAAATAAAGCGTTTAAGAAAATTAAGGCTAAAGTATATGATTGTAAACATTTTATTGTACTCGAATTTCTGACACTTTTGTGGCTTATCATGGTTCTAGTGATATTTATTGTACCTATATGCGGGGATGTCTGTATGTGTGTGTTAAGTATGGAGTAAAGTAACTTACTTTATTTTTTGCACTTTCATATAACCTCTTAAAAGGATATTGTCAATAGTAGATATTGCCAACAAACACAGATTCATTTTGTTGGCTACCTTTATTTTGTGCTTGAGTTGAATGTGTTCGAGAGAGACACAAATGCTAGAAACAGATAGAAGCTGGCTGAAGAGAAGGCCATCACCATATTGCCTAGCAACGGTGATATGCAACATATAGGGTGTCCGCAAAGTTGGGGTTTTCCTTTTCAGAAACAACTACCCTTGAAATAACAAAGGTAATGTGTAGTGAAACGAGGGCGACCAAGTAAAAAAAAATAAAGGAAAAAGTACTCACTCTCCAGTTGACGAGAAGGGCTAAGTACGTCTCTGCCCGAAATCATACCGCTCCAACAGAAAATGAAATCAGCTGATGCGCTACCGAGCAGACGCAGGCAAACAAGGAAGGCAAAATGTTGGGTAAAAAGTCTAGGTATTGCATCCCGTCCAATCGATTTGGGAGAATAAATGGTCCAATGAGCATACCGTTCACCATGCCAGCCCAAACATTCACCGAAAATGTTTGTTGAAAATGTGCCCGACGGACAGCGTGCGGATTTTCTACTGACCAAACATGAGTGTTGCGAAAGTTATTCACCCCATTACGCGTGAACGTAGATTCGTCTGTCCCCAATATGCACTTCAAAAAGTCCGGATTATTGTCATGTTGATGCAACAACCACTCACAAAACCGCACTCTTGCTGGAAAATTGTCAGGTTGAAGGGCTTGTACACGTTGGACGTGAAACGGATACAGCCCCTCTTCACGCAGCGTTTGCCACACTTTTGATACTTGCACTTCTCTAGTCACGTCTCTAGTGCTTGTTGTTTTTTGAAACGCAATCGATTATACGTGTTCGTTTACCTCTACACGCGTGACCGTAACCGTCGGTTGAAAGTTGCATACTGACCTGACACAGTGACCCCGACCCAGTTCTGTCGTCGGGTTGAGCTAGTGTCCTAGTACCACTTGGGGATGTCGCGGCTACAGGACGGTATTCAGATATTTTTGATGTTGCAGAGCCCTTTATCTCGGCTCCCTTAAGACATTGGTGTATATGGTACTAAGAAAAATTGCTTATGTTTTCAAGATCTACACGTCGTGTAAAGGAAAACCCCAACTTTGCGGACACCCTGTATATATAACAAATAGAAAATGGGTGGGCAAAATCCGCAAAAAGAAGGAAAGTGAATTCGAGCAGAAAATGGGATAGGTAACCCGAGCGATACGTATTTCTGCTGGTTGGCTTCATCAGGCCCGAAAAGAATGCACATATGGAAGTACAAAAGTAGATACACATGCCTACACATCCGCATACGGGTGTAACCTGGGGAAACGAAGATGGAGAGGGAAAAAACGACACACGAAGTCCACAACAAGAGCCAACCTACACATTGTAGTATAAAATGGCTAGAAGACCTCGAATTTTCAAGGAGACATGTAACCACAACCACGCGGCCGGTTATAGCCACTTGCTGTGGTACTTCCAGCCCAAAGGATCTACAAAGAGAAAAGGATCATGCGGAGAAAGGTATATAACAAATAGAAAAATAATGGTCAAAATCCGCAAAAGGAAGGAAAGTGAATTCGAACAGGAAATCCGATAGGTAACCCGAGCGATACGTATTTCTGCTGGTTGGCTTCTTCAGCTTCGAAATGAATGCCATATGCAACTAAAAAAGTAGATACACTTGCCCATACATCCGGATACGGCTGTTACCTGAGGAAAAAAAGATGGAGAGAAAAAAAAAATGACATACGAAGTCGACAACAAGAGCCAACCTACACATTGTAGTATAAAATGGCCAGAAGACCTCAAATTTTCAAGGCGACAACTAACTACAACCACGCGGCCGGTTATAGCCACTTGCTGTGTTACTTCCAGCCCAAAGGATCTACAAAGAGAAAAGGATCATCATCATCAAAGACTACGGCTGTGTATTCAACTTGGTGGATATATTTGAGTAGTGGTAGTTGTTTGTTTATGTTGTTATAGTTATAGTCTCTATTACGCTTGAAGCTGATTTATACTGTTCTGCTTGTTATTAGTTTTTACGTCAAATCTGTACTCTTAGTGGCAATATGGAACTCGCCCACTGTTTGTCTTTTGTTTCCATGGATAATGTGATTTTTTCCTTAAATTTGGTGTGTTGTTCTATTAAAAGCTTAATAACTCAAAATCTAGTGATTTTATCTGAATTAAACCTTATACAAAAAAAAAGCTTATAAAAAATTGAATCCGCACTTGCACAAATATACAGGGTGATGCATTTCAAATTTTTGAGGTAACAAGTACAATTCGCGTTTTTGACCTACCTGTATAAGCAAAAATGAAAATTCGAAAAAGTAACAGTTAAGATGAAAGTTGAGGTGCTTAAGTTTTTTTTGATACAAAATTCAGCACTCCAAATTTCAAAATGGCGGATTGAGGGGTTGCCGAAATTGACGGTTTTTCATTCATTTCGGGCCTGATGAAGCCAAGCAACAGAAATACGTATCGCTCGGGTTACCTATCTTATTTTCTGCTCGAATCCACTTTCCTCATTTTTGCGGATTTTGCCCATTATTTTCCTACTTTAGGTTATATACCTTTCTCCGCATGGTCATTTTCTCTTTATATATATATATATATATGTAACATTTTTGAGAAAAAGTACAATTCGCGTTTTTGACCACCCTGTATGAGCTAAAATGAAAAGTAACAAATAAGATAAAAGCTGAGGTGTCTAAGTTTTTTTTGACACAAAGTTCAGCACCCCAAATTTCAAAATAGCGGTTGCCAAAGTGGACGGTTTTTCTAGACAAAACACCTTACATCTCAGTAGCTAACTACTAAAACCTTTAGTATCTTATATCAATCTTTTTCTTTTTAATTGATTTATCCTAATATGCAATAAAATTTGAGGCATTCCATTTGAAAAATCACAACTTTGATATGTAGGTCGAAATTGGGACACCCTGTATAATATTTTATAAATGTGACCTCAAATGTCATGTATAACATCCCATAAATAGATTTTTCCAAAATGTATTTGTTTATGAGTAATATTACGTCCACACATGGATGGGTCACCCTATATATATATATACAATACAAAATGAACAATTTTGCCTTATAAACCCCTGTTCGGAAATATGCCGTTTGGGCTGCAGCAAAAAAAAGGTCAGTTTCTTGAAACAGCTTACCTACAGTAATTGCTCAAAGTGTCCTCCACCTTGCTCAATACATAGCTGTGCACGATTGTTCAATGATCGGCGAACTCTGTGGCATACCCCCGGTACGTCCTGAACATGTGCGGACGCGGCCATCACTCTTCCCAGTAGCTCTTGTTGGTTGGAAACAGGAGTTTCGTACACTAAAGCTTTCTGATGGCCCCAGAGAAAATAATCCCGTGGGGTCAGGTCGGGTGACCACGCAGGCCAAGGCACAGGGCCATCTCGGCCTATCCACCTATTTGGAAATTTGTCGTCCAAATACTGCCGCACTTGTAAAGAAAAGTGGGCTGGAGCGCCATCGTGTTGAAACCACATGTTGGCTCTTATGTTCAGTGACACATTTTCTAATAGTTCCGGTAGCACATGCTGTAAGAATCGACCATAAGCATGCCCACCCAAACGTGGTGGAAGCAAATATGGCCCGATGATATGCTCGTCCACAATGCCGCACCAGATGTTAATTGAAAACTGATGTTGGTCTCTATGGATGGCTATGGCATGAGGGTTTTCTTCATCCCAAATGTGACTGTTACGGCTATTAAAATAACCGTCCTTTGTAAAACAGGACTCGTCAGTGAACAAAAAGTAGCGACCAAAGTTTGGTTGCCTCAACTCCTGCTGCAGCCACCAACGACAAAAACGTCGACGCGGCAGATAGTCTTCTGGCAATTTCACCGGTCCACGTGGAGTAAAGCACGCCTATGCGTGGACATAGCCAATGAGAAAGCGTGTGTTTCAGAGCTCCGAATAAGTGCAGGTGGCCACTGAAAATTGAAACAGTTTAGCCAGTGCCGTGTAGCGGTGAATAAACGTGTTTTCTTTAGTCTGTCCGTGTTTTTTCATAGATTTTATTAGTTTGTATGTTTTTGACTTTTGAATACTCTGTTTACTTGTTGATTTAATTGTTGTGTTGATTGTTCTTGTGTGTCCTAAATATGGCTCTTTGGAGACCTTGGGAAAATGCTCCAAGCCACGAGGAGATGGTTGATGAACCTGTGCAGGCAGAATTCTTTCATAAAGATTTAGAGGAACAGACCCAAAGAGTAATCCTAAATATGTATGATTGTTTGAAAAACGAAAATCCAGATTCCTCGCAAAATCAAATTTTAAACAGAATTTGTATCCTGACAAAAATCAGTCGGTCTACCATTTATCGGGTTGTAAAAAGGGGAGATGTAGTCAACCATTCCTTCCACAGAAAGCGCATAGGGCAAAAATTAAAAAGAATAGACGTGGGTTTTCAGGAAGATATTCGTCGTATAATATACGGAATTTATAAAGAAAATTTGGTGCCCACGTTGGAAATGATACGGGATAATTTAAAAGATTATCCTGAAGATTTTTATAATTACAAATGCTTAGACTCACTGCACTGTATTGTAGAACTGTGTGGTTTTCAATACAAAAAATTAGATAAAAGAATGGTGATTATGGAGTCGTCTCGAATCGTTGAATTGCGCCAAGAATTTTTGCACAAAGTTAAAATCTATAGAGAGCAGAAAAGAAATCTGATTTACCTGGATGAAACGTGGTATGATACCCATGATGTTGTGCAGTACGGCTGGGTTGACGACAGCAACAAGTGCATTTTAAATGCACCATGCAACCGTGGAAAACGAATCATTATTCTCCATGCTGGCAGTGAAAATGGATTTATACCTAATGCCTTGCTGTTATCTGCCAAAAATATCAAAGAATCATGTGCCGACTATCATGAGGACATGACCTCCGACTTATTTGAAAAGTGGATAGAGCAGCAGTTAATACCAAACATTTCCCCAAGTTCAGTGATTATTATGGACAATGCGCCATACCATTCCCGACAGAAAAACAAAATTCCGAATACAGGCACAAAAAAACAAGACATTATTGATTTTATGAAGGATAAGGGAATGGAAATACCACAAAAATCAACCAAAGCCATATTATTGGATCTTATTAAAAGAGAAAAATTTGAAAAAGAGTATGTTGTTGACAATCTGCTTCAGCAAAATGGCCATGAAGTATTACGTCTACCTCCCTATTACTGCATTTTTAACCCGATTGAGTTGGTCTGGGCTGCTTTAAAAAAAAGTAAGAAAACATAATCAGACCCCTCAATTAAGTGAATCGCTATTGGCCACAATAAGAGATGCAGTATCTCATATTGCTGCCACAGACCTATGGAAGCAGTGTTCTAGGCATATTATTGAAAAAGAAAATGAACATTGTGTTTTGCCTCCTGTAAATCCCGTTGTAATTCCTCTACAAGATGACTCTAGCGACAGCTCCGAAGACGAGGATGATATATAAATACCTATAATGTAAGTCTTTATATACCTTTTTATATACCTACCTGCTATGTAAATATTTGCATATGTCAAACGTTGGAATTCTGTAATTTTTCCATTTCTTAACTTTCAGTCAACATAAATTAAACTCCCAATATAAGTATTTTTTATCCCAAATCAAAAAAATAAGAAGATAGTAAAATCCATTTATTGTGATATAAAAACATTATTATTATCGTTCTAAATAAATCACCGCACGCCTATGATACGTCATGAAATTACAAAGGACGCGCCGACCAAAGGTTTTTATGCTATTTCAAGTGACTTCAGATATACCATACTGTTATTTACTATCTAGTTTGACGCACCACTCAGATAAATTAAGTGAATCGGTGTGGAGAATTTATGATAACAAAAATGTAAACACAGGCTTTTTTACAAACCGGCGAGACCATGAAATGTGCTAGACGAACATTTTGCAGCTGGTGAATTTTTTGTTTCTCCTATGAGCTCTTAAGGTAAAATTAGCGGTGGTGCTCAAACGGCATATTTACGAACAGGGGTTTATAAGGCAAAATTGCATATTTTTATGCCCTCTACAACCCCTATCATTTTGTCGCAATAATTATGGAATACCCTGTATATATATACAGGGTGACTTTGAAGTTGAGTCATTAATTTTCAGATAATGATTGTAGAAGGAAGATAAACCAAAATATGTGTGTAAAAATAAAAAAATAAATAAAAAAAAATGTTACCTTGTTTAATAAAGTATCGTCCCGACAAGTATTTCAGTGCGGACCTGTATTTGATCGTGCGGTCTTGGAGCAGCATGCCCTGACCTGTGAGGTCTTAAGTCACCTGATTCACGAGCCCTTTGTACTACATTAACAAAGGCACGAGGGGTTGGTTGCACTCGATTGGGAAACCGATTCGCATAAATCCGTGATGCATCCGGGAGCATTTTGTAAAGACTGTAAAGACCGTAAATAAGAATCATGTCCACAAGTTCAGCATTTTCGTAAACATGTGCCATTTTTGATTTCGTTTGAGCCACGCAACAAACACTACTATTCACTAACGCGTTATCGACTGACGAAAAACATCGTGATAAACGTTTCAAATTCTTTCGCTTTTTTGTTTCCGATGCGATGAACCGGTCAGGCGGATTATATCCGTTGTCGCCAAACACGAACATATTATTATTGAGACAGGGCGGTACTCAAACTTCCAAAGGGCTATAACTTTGTTACTTTAATTTTACCAGAAAAATGGTAAAGGAAAAAAACATTTCTTTTGATCAGATCTACTCACTGTTAAAATAAATGACTCAACTTCGAAGTCACCCTGTATATATATATATATATATATATAGTGGAGTCGCGATTTACTTATTCTGGCAAATCTATTTTACTATATCGGGGGTGTTCACTTTTGCGAGGTGTAATATTCAAGGCACGTATTCAAAGAAATAGTATATATTCTGCAAAAAATAATAGTACCATTGTATTCAAATGAACCAAATGCATACTAAATATAGGTTTATACAAAAATATGAAGACAACATTTAAAAGATAATATTTTTATGGACCTTGTGCGAAAAATGATGTTATTTGGGGCTGTTTAAACTTTCTCTTCAAGTTGATTTCTACTATTTTTTGTCTCAAATCATGCAACACAAGCAATCTGCTGTATTCTACTGCATCGCGGTCTTCCTCAGACCGTTGGATAATGTCATTAATAGATCGCAAAGCTGTTGAAATAAGTTTGTCTTCTGTTTGACATATTAGTAGTATTGTCACCATCCTCTTCTGAATCGGCATCAAGTCTTGTCATTCTCCAAATGATTAAGTTTACTGGTTCATTTTCATTCCATTCGTTAATGACGTTCGTTTCACATACTATCTGCAATATGTACACAGAATTCAGAATCAGACTTACATAAACATAAAATATTTTTTCAATTTAACTTACATTTGGATTAATATTTTGTAAGAGATCCATAATACATATTACAATATCGCGAAGCAATGAAAAGATTTGTGTGTTCAAGCTAGAGCATATTAGCACTAAAAGAAATGATGATATTGTTCTAAAAAATTGTAAAAGAATGGAACGTATTTTATTTTAATTAAGTATGCCCTGTGGTGAATATCACATGATTTACAGTTGTTTTCAGACCCTCCATGTACGTAGATACGGATAATGTTAAATTGAATTAATTTATGTTATCAAATAATTCGAGGCCACTTTGAACATTTATTGTAAAAAAAACCTATTTGATATTTACTATTATTATCGTTCTATTTTAATGTTAATGTTCAAAAATATTGACCTAAATATTTTTTTTTACAAAAATACAGGTTAATACTATTTTCATCCACGTTCATATTGAGCCTCAGCAACTTGTAAAACATGCAAAACTTATCATAGGTTATACCAACTGTTCAATAAATACGTTTCATTATTCATAGAAATATTTGGAACATTACTCGTATTTCTTCAGTGATAGTTGCTGTAGCTCGAAAAGAAAGCCGTTACGGACCCATGTGCATATGAACATTTAGTCTTCAAACTAACCAAGGATTCGATGGTTATAGTTTGTCTACATACTTCATTAACACCCTGTATATCCCCTATTGGCTAATAAGGACTTAGGAGCATTATTCATTGTGCTCCACATTATTTCCAGAGGCATAACCAGTTGCTGAAGGAATTTCTAAATCTTTTGACCAATTAATTCAAAATTAGAGCTGAACATCCATATTGAAGTATGCCTATTTGATTATCTAATTCGGAACGCATTTGTTGTACATTTCCTGTATTATCTGTAACAAAACCCCTTACTTTAACGTGAAACTGGCTTTCGTTTTCTTTATTGCTTCAAGAGCCGTGTTTTTAAGGTACTCTGCAGTATGTGATTCAACTCTTGTTTCGGTAGTATCTACCAAGAATGATTCCTTTGTATTCCTTACTGATATTAGCAACATAGCCCTTAGGGGTGGTTTCACCGTTAGGGCAAATAATATTTAAAATCAGTTTTTCGTATTGCCTCAATAGCTTGAAAAGTTGCTACAGTCTAATTAAGGGTGAAAAGTATTGGTTTCTTCATTAGCTATAAGACCATGTAGACTTCATCTTTTTCTGATTTCACCCCTTGAACGTGAGAACATTCAGTTTTTTTTTCACCTTTACTCAATCCAGAAAAGTTTCTACAGTTTAAAAATGGGTGGAAAGTGTTTCTTTGATTAGCAGTTATAAGACCACATAGGACTCATCCTCTTCGGACCCGCCTAAGGGGTTGATTTCACACCTTGAACGTAAGAAAATGAGGTTTTTTGTATTTGTCACTAGTCAGAAAAGTTGCTACAGGCTAAGTGTTCCTTTGATTTCACTCCTTCAACGTAAGAAAATGCAGTTTTTTGTATTATTGAGCTAGCCTGTAGCAACTTTTCTGGCTAGAGGAAAAGTGAAAAAAAAATGTTCAGGTACAAATGGTGGAATCAACCCCTTCGACGGGTCCGAAGAAGATGAGGCAGAGGCGGTCTTATACCCAGTAATCAGAGGAACATGTTTCACCCTTTTTTAGTCTGTAGTAACTTTTCTGGCTAGATCATACATACAAAACACCACATTTTCTCACGTTCAAGGGGTGAAGTCAACCTCTTCGATGGGTTCGAAGAAGATGAAACCTATGTGGTATTATGACCGCTTATCAAAGGAGCACTTTTCATACATTCTTAACCTGTACCAACTTTTTTGGATAGAGGAAAAGTGAAAAAAAACTGCAAGGAGTGAGATCAATCCCTTTGACGGGTGCGAAGATAATGAGACCTTTGTGGCCTTATAACTACTAATTAAAGGAGCACTTTTCACCCATTTTTAGCCTATAGCAACTTTTCTGGCTAGGCAACAAACTGTAATTTCTCACGTTGAAGTGGAAAAATCAACCCCTTCAACGGGTCCGAAGATGAGGTCTATGCGGTATTATAACTACTAATCAATGGAACACCATTCATCCATTTTTAACCTGCGTTAACTTTTCTGGCTAGGTCAAAAATACAAAAAACCGTATTTTCTCACGTACAAGGGTTGAAATCAAGACCTTCGACGGGTCCGAAGAAGATGAGACCTATGTGGCCCTATAACTACTATAACTAGTAATCAAAGGAACACGTTCCACCCATTTTTAGCTAGTCCAAAAATGGAAAAGCTGCATTTTCTCGCCTTCAGGAGTTAAAATATATGGTCTATAGCTACTACTCTAAGGAACACTTTTCACACATTTTTAGACTGTAGCAACTTTTCTGGCTAGGCGAATAATACAAAAAAAAACTGCATTTTGTTACATTCAAGGGATGAAATCAACCCCTTAGGCGCGTCTGAAAAAGATGTCTACATGGCCTTATATCTTCTGAAGAAACAAACACATTTCACCCTTAATTAGACTGTAGCTAGAATGACTTACATTTAAAATCCAATTTTGAGAAAAAAATAATCGAATATAAGATAGTCTTTGATCATGAACTTCAGCCTCTTCCAGCGCGATCCCTCAAATATCCCGAAATCAAATACCAAGCTCTTCATCAACGCAGGCTAAAAGTAAAAGAAGTAAAGTGCAAACATCTCCAGGACATCAAATGCGAATGACAGTCATGGCTTTTATAATAATTTGCCCCCATTAAAAATGTTTTCCTCAACATTAAGCGAAATTAAGTTGATAACAGTTCAGTTTAAACGTTTTTTTAGTGTTAAGTGTTACTATAATATCCCGTATCATTGACGTCTTACCCAAATGGGTATCGATACATTTTTGTTCTAATCCTACTTAATTTTAAGAATAAAAGATTTTTACTTATCATTTAGTTGTCTAAATGTAATATAAAAGAGTTTTGTAACCTTTTGAATCAGATTTAGGACCTTATAAAATAAAAAACCTTCTCCTGTATAATACCGATCACTACATTTACGGGGTATTAGAATTTGACCATCGATATACAAAAATATGATAGAATAAAACTTTGATTTGACCCAACAGCCGTTTTTCAACATTTTTTGTATACTCATTGGTTTCTGAGATAAGGGGATGGTTATGTACATGAAATCCTTTAATATGAAAGCAAAAATATCGCAGCTTCCCAATGTTACGTGCATAATTTACAAAATGTGTTTTGCCTAGATTTACAATAAAATCCAGATTATTAAATACGTAACTGGATAGGAAAACAAAAGTTACAACCTTTCAATCAAATTTTCACTATGTAATTGAAAAATGTGTTGCTCAGACAATAAGTATAATATACTGTAAAGTACCTCAAGTATGAAAATCATTTTGATGTGAAGGAAGAGTCTAATTACCTTATTGCCTATTTTCATTTCTTCCTCGTATACATACATGAACAGTGACGTAATGTGAAACAAGTGTTTAGCACATTGCGATTTGTAAATGTTTGTAATACTGCGATAACGAGAAGCTTTCAAATTTAAACAACGTCCGCACCTAATGATATATATTTGTGTGGACGACAGTTGCAGTTGTACCGAATAGGCCGAGCAATGGGAGTATTTAAACAAACGTCGGAATATCATGATATGTACTTCTCTCCCAAGAAGTATACGCTTGTTATCGACACCTCCTGTGAATTCTCTTAGTACAAGAATGAAATATGTTTTAGTGTTCCTTGCCAATGTTACCGCGTACCATGCCAGTGGCGACAGACATTCTTTTTGATTCTTTGCAATCATAAAAACTATAATATTCCGATATGATGTGGGACCTGACTCTAATACATATATTATTAGATAGTATTATTAGTCGAAAAAAGGTACATAGCCTCTGGTCTTAAAGTCGCATTGAATTTATGGGGTCATTACCAAATGTTTTGAGAATATTAGACCCGGGACGTAATTACAGTCAATGAAAATACAGCATTTTAAATTTTCTTAACTGGTTAAACACTCAATTGATAAGGTAATAGACTGCATAAAATTGAACATTCTTCCATAAGCACTTCGACCTTCAATTTGGTCAAAAGTATACATTGGACTGCGTCGGGTTAAAAGTGGGATGGATCAGGGCTATTCAATTTTGATGAAATTTATAGCTATATAGAATTGTGCTATTTTAAACCTGTGATAGCGTGCATCTCAACGTTTATTAACATATATATATACAGTAATGGACAAAAGTATATAGACAAATATGAATATTTACCTAAATACCTTTAGAAAACGAATAAACAAATGCGTTATTAGTAGAAAAACTAAATTCCTTGTTTTTACATTATCTGCAATGAACACAATACAAGTCTGAATATAAGCACTTTTTTATGAGGGACAAAAATATATAGACAAATTCTTTTCAACATTAGTTTAGTACAGTTTCGTGTCAGAAGAGGATTAGTTTGTGTTCTTCAAGTATTGTGGAATAAGTTGAGTGATTTTAAGACCATGCCGCGTGGTCAGAAATTTCTTTCGATGTGAAAACTAAGATCATTGAGTTATACAAAGATGGTCAACGTCAAGTCGACATTGCCAAAAATTTGAAGCTGAAGCGTAAAGCAATTTGGGCAATATTGAACAAATATAAACCCCAAGACAAATAAAAGCCGAAATCGAGACAAAAGGAATTGAAAGTGTTTTAACGAAAACTATAAGTAGAAGATTAAAACCGTAAGGACCGATTACAATTTGCACGGTTGCATCTTGATTGGAGCATCTGTGACTGGTAGAGGGTATGTTTCAGTGACGAATCCAAGTTCAATATGTTTGGCTCAGATGGTGTTCATTACGTTAGACGTCCTAGTCGACAAAGATTGACCCCCAAGTACACTTTGCCCACTGTCAAACATGGAGGCGGGTCTGTTATGGTTTGGGGGTGCTTTTCGGGGTTTGGGATGGGACCTTTACATAGAATAGATGGCACTATGGATAAGTTTGTATACACATACATACTAAAGCATGTCATGTTACCCTATATGGAAGACAATATGCCCTTATGATCAATCTTCCAGCAAGATAATGACCCGAAGCACACTTCAAATCTCGCAAAGAAATTCTTTCTGGATGAAAAAATACCAGTTCTCAAATCGCCTTCGCAGTCTCCCGATATAAACCCCATTGAAAATCTATAGGAATACTTAGATTTAGATGAGCAAATACGAGATAAAAATTATTCAAACAAGGATGAACTTTTTGCGGCTTTAGAGCAAAAGTGGAGACAGATTGATAAATCTTATAACAAGAAACTTCTACACTCTATGCCGAATCGATGCCAGGCGGTGATTGATAATAATGGTTTTGCTACAAAATATTAACACAAACATGATTGGTTTTCTATAATTCAATGAACTTTGCTTCTTTTTTCTATTATTGTTTTACTTTGTCTATATATTTTTGTCCTTCATAGTTCCAGTTTTTTTCAATTAATTTTTTTATTGAAGGGAGTCTAATGAATTTATTTATATATAAGTGAGTATTATGCTATAACGAATTATGTATACAGGTTGGTGTATTAATAAAACAAGTTAAAAATGAAATACAGCACAATATTGATTTGTCTATATACTTTTGTCCATTACTGTATATATCTTGTGATTATCCCAATGTTGGATGATGGTTTCATGCAAACATAACGGAGTGTGTTATCGGTCGAGAGCTCCTTTATTATAAATAAAGTATACCATTGCCTACATGGTGATTCACAACTGTTTGGCAACAAAACCGTACATCTTCTAATGACATACCCTGTATATTTTAGCATAATATGAAAGTCCCCTTCAGTGGAAGTAATTTATATAGCATACAATAACGTTTGAATTGCTACTTCTGGAGCTACTAGATATTTTGTCGAAAAAAAAAACATTCAATTTTGACGGCTTGTAAGTTTGTCACTTTTCCAGATAGAGTAAAAACCGTTTCGTGAAGATGAGAATAGCGTATACCCGTGGTTTTTTAATTTTGTACATTGTCGATACAGGGCGTTTATAAATGCTAATTGTAATATACTAAGTGACATATAAATCCGAACACCCAGTTTAAATGGTTTTATTTTAATAAAATTTTGTACAAGTACTTAATGAAGCATAATAAGTAAATGATAAAAATTTCAAAATTTTCAAATTGAGCAATCTCCTACCCATCATATCCCACACGTGCTCAATTGGGGATAAGTCGGGAGATCTTGGTGGCCATGGTAACAATGTGACATCATTATGTTGAAAGAAGTCTATTGTGACTCTTGCAACATGTGGTCGGGCATTATCTTGTTGGAAAGTTGGATCTGCCAGGGTGTCAAGATAGGGTAGACGTTGGGGTTCTAGAACTTCGTGGATATAACGCTGCGCGTTCATGTTACCTCTGATGAAGATTAAAGGTGACCTGGAACCATAAGCTATAGCACCCCAAACCATAACTCCAACAGTGTGATGAACATGTCTTTCAACAAAAAACTGTGGATTCCTCCTTTCACCACGTCTCCTTCTAACCCTGGCACGACCATCGTGCATGCCTAAACAAAATCGAGACTCGTCACTAAAGACAATACTGTTCCATTCCTGATCCCAGAGTGACCGTTGTCTGCACCACTCAAGGCGATTACGTCGGTGTTCTCGAGTTAAAGGGAGGACCCAGTGTGGCCGATATGAAAACAAGCCAAAACTTCTCATTCGTCGGTAAACACTTCGCATGCCGATAGGTCTTCCGTGTTCTGCAAACCATTCATTTGCAATGGACCTGGTAGTGGAGAAACGGTCCCTTAAGGCCAATAATCTGAGGCGGCGATCTTCACGGTCTGTTGTTCTACGGCGGCGTCCAGTGCCCCTTGCTCTTTGCGTACGGCTTTCTCGAAGCCATGCCTGACAACACCTAACCACTTCTTTGCACTCTAACTGCAATTGCCCGAAAAGAAAGTCCAGCTTCCCGAAGTCCCACTATACGGCCCGTATCAAACTCACTAAGTTGACGTACAGGTCTCCGTACTCTAGGCATCGTAACCGATCTTAAAGGATGTCAAGAACCAAAATCCGGCAACGTTGATTCTTTACTGCGGCTGAAATATTCATTTTTAGAGCGTTAGTGAATTAAAAAAAAAAAACAGTATAAAAACCGGAATGTCCAACTGATAAGGCTGAAAATTTTTTCACTTGTTATTTACCGTAAGATAAATACATTCACCAACTTTTATTAAAATAAAACCATTTAAACTGGGTGTTCGGATTTATATGTCACTTAGTATATTTCTCTAAAAATTCAAATGGCACACCTATTGGTGGAGTAGTGTTGTAATCGCGGAAATTTTCGAAAATGATACATTGTCTTTTTGATGTTGTATGGCATGTACACCACGGAAAACCATGTCACACTCATCTCTGTCTGTTTGTCTGTCTGTCGGTCTGAGGGTCTGTCCGCTAATTTTAACACTGCCTATAATTCGAGAAGTACCGCTTGGATTTCGATCAAATTTTCACAAAGTGTTACTACTATGCCAAGGACGCGAAGTTTTTAAAATTCGGTTAGGGGAAAAACACATCGTCCAAACTTCGTTTTTTGATGTTTCAGAGGCTCATGATAATTTTTAGAAAACTTTTTGTAGGGGTTGAAAATCGTGGGTGGTGGTTGTAGGAGGTGGGGGAGGGTATACGTTATTTTCATGGCAGCAGTATATTCATACACCTCGAACCCCATTAATTTTACTCACCTATCAGTACATACTTCGCACATCATAGATTTCCCAGTACTTATATTTTTAGACGCGTCACGCGGCCGCGACGCAACCATTATACGCTAAGCACTGTCAGCGTGTCTGCGTCTGATTGTCTCTGACTGCATCACCGGTTCTCTTTAGTTACTATACTAGTGTGGTTCAGTACCGTTGCCAGATGGTTGATTTTAGAATAGGGAAGAAACTAGCGTAAGCATTATCAAATGGGTGGTGTCTATGAAGTATGGATTAATTGCATGGGCCTATTTGACTGAGTTAATCCATTCATTTTTCTATTATAGAGGTTTGTAGCTAGTTGAGAGGGAGGAACTTGTGTCGAACATGATCGTTTATGAACTGATGACAACGTTGCGTGGGAAGTGCAGAGTTAACCTACTTGACGACATTTTTTATATGCTGTATTTGGTTATCACATTTTTGAAGGCTTAAATTACGATTTTTTTTGTTTTCCGTAATTCTCCAGAAACTAAAATTCAAAATAAATATCACACAATTTGTGCAAAGAGGATTTTGAGTGAATGTGAGCTAATTTCAATTAATGCTTGAAGCCATTTATTTTTGTTTCAATTTTTACTTTTTGTAAATAGCAGACTAAGGTTGAATGGAAACAATGGCTGACGTCAGATATTATACATACAAAGGAAACGCTAGACAAAAAGCCCACTTTAACTGGCGTTACGACCTCAAACCAGAGCGGGATGTCGCTTAATGAGATAAACAGCTGCGGTGACTCATATAACATGCTACT